TGGTACACTTCAGGTGCACAGCAGGGTCACTGTGTAGAATTACAAACAAATCCCCCGTGTGCACCCATTTCCCCACTTGGGTAGTTGAGCTAGAATATTTTGATCCGTCAGTCAACCCAAGATTATGCAAAGAACCACAAATGATCAATTCACTTGAAAATATAAAATTAGCATTGTTAAACATAGAAACTTCTTAAGAAACAAAAAACTCAGGATATTTGCTTTTTTCTGAATTCCTCCCATGTGATCAACATGGGAGGTATAGGAAAAGGAAAAGGGTTTTAACCTTGCTGATTATGCTCATGCAGACTATGTCAAAGGGAAGATATCAATCATCTCGGCATGTAAAATAAAAGATCAAATATTAGGGGCCCTTATGTCTGTATAGCCACTATGACATATCCTTCTCAATGTAAAATATTTTCATTATAAATTCATGTGTTCACTGTTCTTGCTGTAACAAGATTCTAAAGTAGTTGTGAAGGATCACTTGAATACAATTTATAGTTTGCTGAAAGTGTTGAAAGTCAATTAAAATAACTGATTACCTCTGACCCAATAGCCCAAGCAACAAAGACTGAGTTGCATCTTCCCCATAAACCTGGCATTCGACTTCCATAACACTCAGCATGTTTTCCAACAAACTGCTCCATGAGTTGCTCTTCTTCCATGTTGTCAAAGAAGCATTGATATACCAAAGCATGATGGACATAATCCTTATTTTCTGGAATAATCGTGGGCACATACTGCAAAAAAGAATTTCAAAATTGAATCATAACAAACAAAAAAACAAAAGCTAAAACTTGCTCCAATGATGTGCCGTTTTGACTGAATTTCTGGGCCCTTGTGAATTGAGCAAATGTATGTTGTGTCCTTGGTCCCCTGAATAGTTGCATATGGAGTCACAATATCAAAGCTCTCTGTGGTAGCTGGGTCAGGTACAACAACACCTTCAAGAAGGACATGATATTTAATCAAACATGTGTTCTCAGAGAATAAAATTTTGGTCAGGTGACCAGCAAACCTGTTGGAGGATCAAGGATGTACAAAGAGACTGTTCCTCTGTTTCCCTGATGATAAAATGGATCATTGCCTTCTGGATCAGTTTCTCCAAAAGCATAAATGACTCTGATGGTGTCAGCCTAAATATACAAATAAAGAATCAAGAAATTAGGTTATTTAGAGAAAACATTCTTAGTAATGTGACATTGTTCTCATGCTCAATTGTTTTTTTAATTTTCAATCTTACTTGGATGAAATAGTCCTGATCCAAGTCACAGGTGTCAACCTTTCTTGAGAACCTGCAAATTGTATGGGTCCCATTCTCTGTGGCTGAGATCAAAGTGTAGTCTTGTGATGCATCCAGTGTAGGCAGACCAGGTTGATTTGCATGTCTGTCCTGAAACATAATTCAAACATTAGAGAAGATGGCCAATATGTTTAGGATTGTTAGCCCCTTTCAACAAGAATGAACTCATGCATTTGAAAAAGAGGATTTTTTCTGGAAATCATTTCAAAACATTAATTTGAAAACTCATTCATTCAATGAAATGCACATAGTGTATTTTATTAAGTGGAAGTAGTAAATGCATATGAAGAGAGACCCCAAAAGATGGACACCTTGACATGTGAATGATTCAACTTGGAGACATTTACAATTTTAAAAAGAATCAGACACACCTTTTTGACAACATCTCAACATACGGACAATTTTCCAACATTTCTGGGGAATTTCTAAAATTTTTTAAATTTTAAAATTTCAACATCTCTCAACCAAATTTAGTCATTCATGCTCAAAGTGCAATCAAAATGAATTTTATTAAAAATTCACTCAAATGTATGCTCAAAAAAGGTTAATTTTGTGTTTTGATGATGGAGTATTCTCCATCATCTGTGTACAGTAGTTTTTCTTTGCTTTTTGTCCTTTTGATGCCAGAAGAGATCAGATTCCGTGTGGTTTTCGCCTACACAATTATATTCTTTGCTTTTTAGTTGAGAAACACATTTTCTTGCATTTTCTGAAGGATTTCCCCCCAAATTTTTATGAAATGGAGAACCAATTAAATGAGTTACCATTAAAGTTTATGGGAAAACAAAATCTGACATGCACAAATTTTGACATGGGACAAGGTCCAAATAAGACCAATTAAGTCCGCATCTTGGGGTCTCACTGATGTACTATGTGCATATAATACAAGCATATCATACTTTTCAGAGACAATTTGATTTATAGAGTTTTGCCATTTCATGCCAGAAAAAGCAATATAACATTTTTGTTTACATTGAAAGCCACATTATAGAAAATGAAAAGAAACTTGCATGGAAATGTTGGACTCCATCCTTGACCCAACATGTGACAATGTCTGCTCCAGTCATGCCACCATTAGGACTGAAACCCACTCCAACCCAACCAGTGACCTGTGCTTGAACTTCAAACAAAAGCTCTTGCTGTTCCTTGTCATAATTCCAAAACAAGTGGATCTTGCCGTCTTTGATTTTGTCCAAGACTGCATGTCGTGTCCATTGCGTGTCATCTTGTTTTGGTTTCACAGCAGCGACATCTACACGATGCTTACGATTAACGCTGCTTGCGGATGCCCTGGGCAACGCATGAGATGCAGTAGCAGCAACAGCAATCACCACGAAAACAAGAAGTAATTTCGACATTTCCACAGTTGTTTTTTAGTAGAAGAAAAAGCCTTTTTTTAATCTGCAAGAAGAAAAGTATTCGCATCAAGAAAGACTAGGGTTCAATTCATGGTGCGTTTTCACTTCATAAAATATCGCAATGTACAGTAAATTACAGTATTTTAAATTTTGAAACCAATAAAAACTGTTCTTGAAGGAACACAAACCGTGACTGAGGGCGGAAATTCCCTTGAGGATCATCCCAATTTATTCCGACTTCAAGTGGAGATAAGCATGAGCCCGTCACCTGATGTTTCGAAAAATCTCGCGACATTCTCAAGATTTATTTCTAGCTCGCAGCGGAAATGACTGATAAAATGAGTCATGTCTTCAGATTCGGAATATGACTAGATAGAAACGAACCCCTGCCATTGCCCAACACTTCATTTCTTGATAATCATTGTGGATTCTCACCACTGTTTATTATTCTTGAATCTGCTGCAAAAGTTGAGCGTTTATCTAGGATTTTTTTTTGGGCACCAGCATAAAAATGTCTTTGGCCAATCTTTGCCAAACTCAATTTAAAAGATTTCTAAAAATATGAGTTGCAGTTGGCTGTGGCTGATCATCTGCATTTCTAGGCACACACACAAAAAAAGAATTTTCTGGCAATATTCCAAAGGGACATTTGGAGAACAATAAATCAGTGTTCCACAACCTGTTGGTCTGAAGACTGGCACCAGTGCACTGAAATTTTTTTGCTGGTCCATGGGAAATGTTCTCAAGCATAATAAATTTCTCAAAACTATGAATGAAGGATGTTACGGTATCCTTGTCTGAAAGTTTTGCAATACAATTGCAGTTGAAAATTATCTGATGAAAAATAAAAGTTGATTTTTCTCCTAATAACACTTCAGACAAATTTTTACCATCTGAAATGAATCATTTTTATTTTTTTCAGTCTGAGAAACCTTTCATCAAGCCCATTTTTCTAATTTTTTGAAGACATTCCAATCTAGCTGCTTCATTGGTTCTTAACTTGATTTTCTTGTTAAAAAAAGAGATAATTTTGCCTTAACTGCCATAAAGTATTTCAGGCAAAACTTTTGAGAGCGTGCACAACTTTTACAAAACTTTGCCAGTGTGTGGAAGACTTTTGGGAAATTTTCCAGTCCACAAAAAATTGGTCCAGGGGCCCAAACAATTTGGGGAACACTGCACTAAATGAAAACAACAGTGAAGTTTACACAACAATGCATTGTTTCATTTCTGCCTTCTTCCCACAAGACAAAGCCCATACAGTGTTTTTTTTTTTGTGCGCTGGCACTTGATGTATCATACAAGAAACATTCACTCTACATAAAAAGAAACATAATGCAAATAACAAATAACTTAAAATGAGGATGTTTGTCAGCAAAACAATTCGTTTGTTGCCAATTTTTCTCTTTCAAATGAACACATGATGACACATCAGAGGAAGTTGAACAGGTCAGTTCTGTTCTTTTCAAACTTTGAGGACAATATTTTTTAAATTAGCACAACCCTTGTTATTTCCACCGTCTTGTTGAAATAATTACAAATGAACCTGTGAGAATGACCCTGTTCAGTCTTGTCACCAAATATCAGAAGGTCAATTGACTTTTTAATTATGGGGTCTACAATATTTTGAATGAATTGTGCTTTGAATAGGCAGAAGACAATTTTTAAAGGTTGCACTTAGTTTTCAGCTGCCAAGTATTTTGAAAGATTTTTTTCAACCGCAGTTTAAATTTACATGAAGTATCAGAAGTTCATCCCTTTTTTATTTTTGGGGTCTACCAGCAAGTGACGAATTTATAAAGGTGAACTACAATATTTCAATGAAATGAGTTGGGTAAGAATTCAAAAATTGCCCAAATACATTATTCCACTGAAATTCAGGTAAAAAATTATTGATTCCATGAAATGTTCCAAAATATAAATTATTCCAGTCCAGATTCGAATTTTTGAATAATGAATTATTCTATAGTGATGGTGTTGAACTTGAGCCGATAATCCCAACAAAGCTTCAAAATTTGCAGACAATTTACAGACTATACCCATTGTTCATCCGCATTATTTTTCTTGGCAACTATATAAAGTTTGAAAAGTTCGTAGAAACACGCCCAGAAGAACGGTCTTGTATAAAGATCAAAACAAAAATAATGGCGTTCTATACATGTAAAAAAAATCATCGATGAAGTCCTCAAAATTCACAGTATACCGAAGCTTCGTTAAAAAAAAACATGAATAGATAGTAATTCAAGGAAAGCTACTTTTCATAAATTCGCACCGTGTTTCCTTCAGCGGATAATAAACGCCATCAATAACCGGATTTTTTTTGCGCATTCGTTTCCTTATTTTCTTCGCCGGGGACAAGAACGAAAAAAAATTATAAAAAAAGCACAAACAAGATACATTAAACTTCAACCACTAAATGAGAAAACCGGATTCAAAGCTCTTTCGTTTTTCTTTTTTTGTTTTACACAAAAACTGGATTCGAGGTATCGGTTAGAAAGTCATTCTTGACGGAAGTCTCGTCCGAATAAGTGCTGGCGAACTGAGCCAATTCGTCGGAATTGGCGTCACTTTTTGGCAGTTTTCCCGTTCGTTTCCTGGATCTTTGATGCCGGACTTTGTGATGCAAAGGTTCTTGTTCTTGGTGTTGTTGTTCGGGTGACTGATGTTGCTGGTAATAGTTTGGGTATTGCTGTGAGGAAGGCAAATTGTTGGTGTCTAATAAGCAATCATTACTGGCTGCCTTATTATTGGATTCCCGGGATTCCTCCAGTAATTTTTTCTGATGTTGTTGATGATTTTGGTGATTATTGAATTCATCTGAAGTGATTTGCGTAGTTTGAGAATCGGATTTTCCTTCTTCACTGGACGTCCAAGCTGAGGAGAAAAAACGAATGAACCAAGTAAGTCATATTTTTAATCAATGGTTATACAGTGAGACTCTAATTTGCGGACACCCCGACATACGGACGTTTTTAATTAGGGACACTTTAAACCCAAATAAAGCTGGCCCCAAGTCTGGAAATTGGGAGACTTTTCTGGCATTTTCCATAAAAATTAAAGTTTTATTTTTTTTTACTTTTGATATCTCAGAAAATTGAGCTATTTACAGTAATTTAGCTGCTGAATTCCATCATGTACCACTTTCTAATTGCTAAAATTTTAAAATAAGACTCCTATATATAATGATACTCATTGCAGCAAGAAAACAATAACAATCAAGAATTCAAGTATCAAACATGGAACATGTAATTTTATTGGATTTGCAAGAATTTTAATGGATTACTTTGTTAGTGTCAGATGCTTCACACATTCAGTGTACCAAAATTAAATAATTTGTGAAATAATATGCTGTATAAAGAAGGTGTGGATGCACCTGTTGAAGAATCTTCTATCAATAAATCTTGTAAACTGAATTTTTGGATTCCACAATAAATTCATTTTCAGGCCCCTGCTGGTTAACAGCAGAAATACACTTCAAATCACTTCATAACAAATTTATCATTAAAAAAAATTTATTTTCAGAACCGAAATGTTTTTTTCAATGAGAATTTACTGTAGTAGGAAACCTCATTCAATGGGATCTCTGCAAATAAACACCACCGGTATAACAATTTTCAGCAAAAAATTATATTTGCAAGGTTGCTGCACAAGCTTTTAAACAGGGATCCAGCTTTCAAATTTTTATGGGGGCAAACACTTGAAATTTTCATACAAAGAATGGCTACAATCCAACTTACAAACCGCATCAAATATTATGCTGGAAGGGATTGTGTTGGTCATTATAGTCAAGGTTCCATTTTACAGATTGGCACCAGGATAAAAAAGCCCTAAATTTTTTGTTTGCAAATAATATATATTTCAAGCTCATCACTATATAAATGCATGTCACAAGTGAATTTATTTTAAACTTCAACATTTAATTTTTTAATGTGGTCTTCTTCATTTCTCAGCCAGATCAACTGTAGTAACTTTTTTTGGTACTTCCCTGTTATCTTAGTACCTACTTTCCTGTTATCTCTGTACCTTCCCTCTGACCAATTTAACCTGACCTAACCTAACTTCACCTAACCGCCTCCCAAAATCAGTTTCTGCTTTCTTTGGGTTTCTGCTGAATAGTTAGGTTAGGTCAGGTTATGTTAATTGAAAGATATTTGTAACTAACATAACCTGACCTAACCTAACTTTACCTAACCACCTCCCAAAATCAGTTTCAGCAGAATACGGAAAAATAAAATTCACAGTTTCTGGTAGGTCATTGTGGTTATGAACTTGTTCTAAAGATTTTTCTGGATGGTAATGCTGTCTAGGAATGAGATACTGAGATAACAGGAAAGTACCCTTTTTTCCAGTTGAAGACAAATAGAAAATGATGATTTGACCCTGCTGGCATATTTTTTTCCCCCGCATTTTAAAAATGCCAATCCAAATGTTCAACTGACCTTTGCTGATTCTTCTGGGACCCGTGTGTCGAGCGGCGTCCACCACGACTCGCGGCGGCTGATCAGTAGTCGGCCCGCCGCCGCCGCCGCCTGAAGCCGCCGCCACGGTGCCTTCCCCGTAGTCCCCCAAGTCATCATCCGTGTCGTCCATGTCCCTGCTGTTATTCACACCCTGGTCCTGTTGGTGCTGGTGTCGATGACTCCCGTCTGATGATGATGAGCCAGCTTCCAGCGCCGCCACTGCCGCCACCGTGTTTGTTGTCGTCGTCTCCCAGGCGTCGGCATTATTGAACAATGCTTCGTCTTCTGCAGCGGCGCCCGTTGCCGCGGCGGCGGCGGCGGCGGTGGCAGTGAGGCCGACTCGAAACGGCGCCGAGTCTGTTATTGTGTCCGGATTGAGGGGTACTTCGAAGTACTTGACGTCCAGGGTTGGGTAGGTGCGACGGGCGACTCGGACGTGGTTCTGCGAGTCGGTCACTGCTACCCGTTCCAGCAACCCGGGCAACGCTGTTTCTTTCACTAGAACGAGGATACAAAATAATTAAAAACAAAACACACACACACAGTGCAATACACAGGAAATGTCCGGATGTATATGAATGAATGAACAGAACACTTCATTTGTCGTTCAAAAGGTTCAATCAAGATTTCCACAACCAAACCCCTTTCCCACCCAACCCAAATCCACTCAATGACATTTTAATCACTTCAGAGCAGGAAAGCACAAATTGATAACAAAAATAAAAGATAATACAGTACAACTTGAAATACAACTGGAAATCTGACATGTATGCATACACCCATTCATCCCCTGACATTGGTAACAAAATATTTGTAACTATTAATTTGAAGCACAAGGTCTTATTTCTGTATGAGGTTTAGTTGAATGAACAAATTACAGAGAATCTTTGATGAGAAATCATATAAAGCCAATAGTTTATCTTGACCAAAACATTGTTAAGGATTACAGTACTGTACTATAACGAGGATAAAAAAATTACAGTGCAATACATAGGAACTGTCTGGTTGTATACAAGGGTCTTGACAAAAGTTCATGCAATTATTCAAAAGATGCCAAAGAATTGAGCTGAAAATAATTTAGCTGAAAAAATAGAGCCACCTATACACAGCCGCCTGTTCATGAAAATGGCGGAATTGCCTTGATGGAAGATCTGAAGGCAACCCTTAGAAAGAATGCCACGTTGATATCAAAAATTCTGAAGGGAAAACTGCTACAGCAAAAAAATAAATAAATAAAAAATCTGCAGGAAGGGCAACTTATCTTTTGAGTGGAGAGCAAAACTCTGCTAGGGTAAATTTTGCAAAACATTAAAGCAAATTTTCAAACAGGACTGATTTTTTTGGGCCAAAGAATATGTTTTCCCTAAAGAATAAATTTTTTCCAACTCAATTGTATCATTGTATGACATCTTTTGAATTATTGCATGCACTTTTATTGGTCAAGACCCTCATATTTGAGGAAAAAAGTCAAACCTTGATTAATTATGCCACAATTCGTTTATGACCATTTGTAGGCCATTTCAGGCACAAAGCAATGAAGAGTATGTTTGGCATTAATTCTCACTTGAGGCATAGGAATGTAACATGGTTAGGCATTGTTTAGGTGCAATGTGCTTCCCAAAAGTGAACATGACACTAAAACTGAAGTTTAAATGTATCCAAATATCTGTGGAATCTATTTTTATGATTCCTCAAACTTCTTCTGCTTATTCATGAGATGGTATAACATTTTGAACCTAAAAATTGGTTAAATACCTTTTTTTGAAATTCATCTGTGAAAAATGCCACCTCTCTTGAAATTTCAAAATCCTTCTGCACAAATTTCGAAATATGATCAAGATTTTGACTTTACATAACTGTTCCTGGCTTCAATACAGCCTAAAATTGCATTTAAAATGTTGATGAGATTTAGTTGACTCATTGAAGTGGTCAATAGTTTGTAAAATGTAGCAGTGTATATAATCTGGTCATAGGAAATCCTTGATACCTGAATGCTTGACAATATTTACCTGTTTACTGCAAAAATAATATGATAACTGAAATGTTGCCAATTGTTGGGGGGGAAATCCAAAAAGAAAAGTTGGGTCCTGAAGATGTGAGAATATGACCCTGGTTTATTCAAGTTGAGATTGCTAAGCACTTGATCACTGATTGATATAGCTAAGTGACTTACATTCCTCAATTCAAGAGTTAGATTCAATAAACAGCTTTTGAAATTAAATTTTATTCTGCTAATTTTGAAAGAGGTGTGCTGATGGTGGTCTCTTTCAAATGAAATTCATGCATTGCCCACCTGGTTGCTTGCTTGAGCAGTCCTTGTGACTGAAGATGACATTGGGATTAAGCATGTAAGTGGGCTGAGTGTGATGGTTGTTGATGTTCCAAGCTTGAACTGTGACAGTGAGTCCAAAATTTCGGTTCTTTTTTTGTTCCATCCATCTGGTCACAACCTTGGGTTCTATGGGGAAGGCCAGCCATCCACTGTCTTCCAAACTCACAATCCTGCTCACCAATGGACGGCTTTTCTTTGAGCCTATTCAGGGAATAATTAGAAAAAAATTATCATGAGATTACAATAATAAATTGCTTTCATTTGTTCTCAACTCAAAATTTATGTATGTTTCAAACATGGGGTTTTTTGGATCAAAAAGAGGGAACTTTCAAATCCAGCTGAAAAAAATACGAATACAATTTCCTGAATCCCTGTCTTCTTAATATCAGTTGTGATTTGTGAAGGTTGTTTTTAGGATGTATTTTCGAAAATTGTTTTGAAAAAAAATTTCTCAAAACTTTGAAAGTCCAGGCGAAATTAGCACTGATTGACGCTAGTGTTATTTTGAAGTTCTTTCAATATATTTTCATTCTGGCGTAAATGATAATTTTTGCTTAGTCTTATTATTATTATTGCTTCCCTTTTTAATATATTGTGGTAATTTGGAAAATAGGGCTTCTTTTAAAACCCGCTCAAGGAAATGAGGGATGCCCTTGCATGAAAGAAGTGATGAATTTAGGTATAATTTATACAGATGCTTTTCTTCGAATTATTTTCATGAGATCATTTTTAGTCCAAAACGTTTTATTTTTATTTTTTTACCTGTTGAGCTGTATTAATTTGTTTTGCCTGCTGCTGAAACGTGTGGAATGCATTCAATCGAAAATGCTTTCTGTTGTGAAAATGAAAGGGAAGAAAAGCATTTCATTTTTTTTTTTGCAGCTTCAAAGTAGATTTTTTTTTTTTAAGTTGCGAGAGTTGCAGAAAAATTCCAGAAACCGTTCAAGGTTCGTTGAAGCGCTGAAAATCAAGTACCTCGGGTTCCCTTTTTGCTCCGGAAAACGTACTGATGGATGGAAACCTTGAGTTGGTGGCTTTCTTTGACTTTCAAAGCGTTGACTTTCATGAGCTGTCGGAAATTATGGAATTCCTGCGTCCAATTGGTCCTGATTTGATCATTGGCAATGGCCTTCAGTTGCTCCTCTGGGTCCAGTGATATCTATATGGCGAAAAAGTTGAAGGAATTTGCGGTAATCTCATGCTGGGCTTGAACTGAATCATGTTTCTGATTGTTTCGAGATAAATTCAAATTATATGAATAATATAGGCGGACTCATCTCTCTGCAACAAAATTCAAGGGACCGGAAAGAATGTTGTTGTAGAGAGAACTTTGTTGTATGGAACCCTTTTTAACATGGAGAGAAAAACTTATGGGACCAAAAACATTTGTTGTACTGAGAAAGATGTTGTAGACAAGATTGTTGTGCAGAGAATCCACCTGCAATAATTTCCAGCAGGTGCATCAATGATTTCTGAGTGCGTCTGAAATTAATGGAATATTTTTAAATAATTACTTGAACAAAATTTGTGTCCCTAAGTCAAAATGTCCCCAAGTCGAGTCTCATTTTCCCTTAGACTTAAATTATATAATTTTTAATTGGTGTTTCATGTACAAAATACTCACCCTAATTCCATGAAAAGAAAAATTGCCTCCCAATTTAAACTGATACAATCAATGTATTTTTATATTTTCTATCAAAAAACGTACCGCCTGAAAAATATTTGGATTTTTGTACATTGGGGAGTTATTTCAGGTGCAAAACTGTTTCTAACACCTGGGAAAACGTTGTGTTAATTTTTTGCATTGACTGCATTCTTCAAATGGAATGCTACACTATTGTTATCATTTGTGGTAATTTCTTATAGTAATGCTAAATGTGGTTCTTTTCCTAGTACAGGTGGTACCTTGCAATTCAACCCTCCCGCAATTTGACAGTCACATTTGCTGGGACATCAACTTGCAATTTGACCTCTTGCCTCACACTTTGACTGCATGCAGAGACTTAAAATATCAAATTTGATTTTGAAAACATCAAATTTGACATTGTCTTGCACTTTGACTGCTTTGCAATTCAACCCTATACAGCCAGCAATGGATTATGGTCCAATTTCAGGGCACCACCTATGGGTGTTAATGGGTGCATGAAAGCAAGACATTTTCAAATTCAGAACTCCAATAAAAGTAATTCTTTGGAAATTTGGAAATTATTGGAAATTATTGCAACAGAAAAGCTTTATACTAAGCTTTGCTTCAAGATTATATTTAAGAATATTATTTTTTTAAATGCCCTTGATTTCAAGGGAATTCTATTTTTGTAAATTATTGATAAGCTCTCTTGCAGTTGGAAATGTGGCGCAACATTTTTCTCATAGTCAATATAACTCAAAACCAAACCCAGTACTTCAAACAAATGTATTAGAAGATAGAATATATGAGGAAAAATAGTGTTGGGTAAATTCAAAACATATAGCTATATACACTGATTAAAGATAAATGTTTGGAGTTCCTGAGTTATATAGTAAAAAATCATTTGGTAAAAGCTGCTATACCTTGAAAAGATGCAGAGTAGCTTGCACCACTTCTCTGCGCACTTTTGAACGTTGTTGTGGAGATGGCGCCACTTTGAAATAAATATTGAATGCTCCATCTCTGGTCCAAGCTTCATTGCTGAACTTCCTGGGCGGATCACCTGCTCAAAATACAAAAAATTCCCATTATGAAAATTTAAGAAACATCCATTTAATCACTGATTTAAAGTCAATTCAAATTAAAGAATAAATCCCAAGCTGATGACTCACACTGTGGGATGAAGCTCTGTGTCTTCTCCACAAGCGTTTCACAAGGCTTATCATGGCTCTGTGCAAATGGCTGATCACCAGGGTTATTGGCCTTGGCAAACTCTTGTCTCATTCTGTCTCTCTGCTCAGGTGTGTAGAGGTTCTGGCCAATTCCAACAGGTGGCGTTTTCATGCCCAGGCTGGACAGAATTTGCTGCTTGATGGCATCTATCCTCCTGATGGTGGGAAATTCTGTTTTACAATACTGTAGTTATTCCAACAGCACACGAACCTAGAAAATTTTGGCCACATGCAAAACATTTTGCTTTGAGTATACTGTACTGTATCAGATAGTTTCATTCAAATTTACTGATTTTATATGTGAGTGTATTTTTCTCAACTAAGATGCACAACTCAAAATTTTGGTTACCATTCCTTTACAAAATGCCCTCTCCCCATGTAAAACCATGAACCCTATAGCTTTGGCCAAAAATTGAAAATGATCCCAGTGAATTATGATTTTTGTTTGGATGATTATTGTTTGTGGACTTGGAGACTTTGCTTCAAAATGAAATGTTGTTCATCTTTTTTCTCTATAAAAAGGTGACTATAATCATGTATGACTTCCACCCTTTTTATGATTCTCCTTTCAAGAACTTTATGCCTCATATTCTTCAAAATTTGTGTACTCATAAAACATCCACTTTATGTTTAGACCCTCCATTTCTTGAAAATCCTGCACTTCCTGGTCACTGCAAAATTGGCTGCCCACTAATATTGCAAAAGATGCCAAACTCAGCAACATTTTTTCATGGGAAGATGTTTTTATTTACGTAAGGGTCATTGTGAATAATACAAATATTTTCAGAGATTTTAAATATTTGGTAGCACCTAGAACAATTTTAAATTCATGAATGAATGAATGAACAGAAAACTTGTTTGCCGCTTTTCAGCATTCACAAGGTACAACCAAAACTCCCTCATCCAAACCCCCTCCCCACCCAACCCAACTCCCCCAAAATACATTCAATCACTTCAAAGCATGAAACAATAAAAGCACAAACCAATGACAAAAACCAAAGAGAACACACTCCACAAAATAAAAACTGGACATCCTACGCGTATGTTGCATACACCCACTCATCCCCAATATTGAAGACAAAGCAGCAGTAAAAGTTTATTTAAAGCACAAAGTCTTCAGCCTGTTTCTGCATGAGTTTTAGTTCAATGAACAATTTAGAGAGAATCATAAATTCATAAAATGTGCACATGCAACCATATACTGTGCTTCCTAATCAAAGAAATTAACCTTTATATTTTAATTTCAGTAACATTAAAAAATTAATCTACCCTCATCTTCCCATGAGAAAAATCCCATGAATTTTGATTATATCATCCACAGAATATTACATCAACAACAACAAAAATATTTGAGCAAACCTTGGTGATAATTTCTGGCTTTGGCCAATTATTTCAATCAATTGTTTAGAGAGATTTAATAAAATACAAAGTGATTGATTTACATGTCTACAGATTAAAATGTATGCACGTTACATTTATTTCCACTTTTTCCAGATGCAGGTCATAACAATTATTGTGCATTTGTTCAATTAATGCCCCCTTTCATCTTTTACCCTTCTTGATCTCGTTTTGGCGCGCAAAATGTAAAAAATCGGCGTGAAAATAATTAAGAAAGACTATAATCACTGCAATCTACGATCAAATTCATTCGAGGAAAAAAAATTTCGGTTGGCTAGAAATTTTGAGCCCACGCTTGCATAATGGCCGGTTTTCAATCAGACTTGAATAATAATATTTTTTGAATCGGCAAGTAAATTACTTTTTTTTTCAATTGCTGCAATTTTCTTCGGCAGGCTGACAAAAAGGCAGGTCAAAGTAATTTCCTCATAATTATAATGTGTTTCTTATTCTGACGACATTTTCCTTAAAACAAGGAAAAACTGAAAATCGGTGAAGAAAATGTTCAAAACTTACAATACAGTACTTTAATTATTCCGATGTCCAATTGAATTTCTCCTATATTATTGCAGGGGACACATATCGAGCAAAACTTGTGATCCAACCCTCGTAATAATTCCCGAATTTCGAACAGACTTGAATTATCAGTTTTTTGAATCGGCAATCAGTAAATTTTTAAAATTGTTTTTCTTCGGTGGTTAACAAAAGGAAGGTCCAAGTAATTAAAAAAATGATAATGTCTCATATTCTGACCACATTCCCCTTATATACGTACAGCAGTAGCAGGAAAAAATTAAAATTGGCGAAGGAATGTTCAAAAATCACAATACTTTTAATTATTCCAATGTCAAATTAAATGCCTCTTATATACTTTATTGCTATAAGGACCACATTGATTAAGAATGACAAAACTTGTGATCCAACCCTCGTAATTACCGGGTTTCAATCGATCTTGAATTACTGTATTTTTTAATCGGAAAATAAAGCACATTTTATTAAATTAATATTTTTTCCGGCAGGTTAACTAAAAGGAAGTCCCAAGTAATTTTTTTACAATCAGATTGTCTTATTCTGACCACATTCCCCTTAAATATACAGTAGCAGGACAAAAAATTAAAATTGGCGAAGGAATGTTCAAAAATTACAATACTTATAAATATTCCGATGTCCAATTACATGCCTCTTATACTTCATTACAATAAGGATAGGAATGACAAAACTTGTGATCCAACCCTCGTCATTACCAGTTTTTATTCAGTCTTGAATAATTATTTTTTAAATCGGAAAATAAAGCACATTTTATTAAATTATCTTTTTCCTGGCAGGTTAACAAAATGGAAGGTCAAAGCAATTTTTCCTCCACAATCGTAATGTGGAGAAAATTCTGACCCGCTTTCATTACAACAGGAAAAAAGAGTGAAAATCAGCGAAAAAATTGTCAGTAAGCTTCCAATACTGTACTTGGAATTATTCCAAATTCCAATTACTGTAAAAATTTCTCCAATAATATAATAATAAAGGACCACACGGAGCAAGAGTGACAAAACTTGTGATCCAGCCCTCGTATAAATACCGGGTTTCGATCAGACTTCCAATCAAACCGCTCCCAAAAAAATAAATAAATAAAAAATGAATCAACGGGTCGCTTTATATTTCCCGTTGCTGCTGGTCGAATGTGTCTCTATATATATATATATAAGAGTGCTGTATGATGATGGCCATGGACCTCAAATCAGTATCATGAATAATCGACACCGCTTATATATAAATATATCCCCGCCAAAAAAGAAAAGAAAAGTGAACCGATCAAATAAATAAATAAATAAACGAAACACCCCGAGACGAGGACCTCATTTACTCCGTCTGGCGGAGCCGACGGAAGCTGATTATGCATGCGACGTTTGCATGTGAAGCTCATACACCATAGACAGAACGTGGGCGAGGGAAGAACCCATTTCCCCGCATGTGCACAATGTGGGCAGGATTGAGAGCAGGATGAAAGAAGCAAAAATAAAATCATGATGTGCAAAAAAAAAAGGGGGGGGGGGCGAAGGGGGGGGGGGGGGGGGGGGGGGGNAAAAAAAAAAGGGGGGGGGGGGCGAATGGGAAGGGGGGGGGGGGGGAAAGTGTGAGTCGGAAATCCCGCCTGAATTTTCCACAGCGTGCCAGACGGCCGATTTTGATATTCTGGGCCGTCTGCAGATTTTCGCGTGTTGATTAAAATCGAAGGCTTTCTGGTATTTTTGCCCGCGATATTCTTGGGAGAAAAAAAAGAAAGAAAAAAAGGGGCACTGAAGAAAGTCAATGTCTGGCTGTTCCATTCGCCTGTGCGGTGTAGGAGGACAGGTGTGTATACACTGCAGACTTGCTGATGAGGAGGAGGCGACTATAATGAGATTTTTAATTATGATTCCAGTGTTTCTGAAATGATCTTTCTCAAAATGTTTTTGATCAATGCTGTGATTTTAAAACTTGTAACCCTGCTCTTGATCAAGTTCTCAGGGCATGATGGGGTTGAACTCTTTTTCACTCTTGTTGAAGTACAATGGAAACAAAGGGTTTTACATCCCTGTAAGACAATTTGGGATCAATGTAACTCTCTTTCTTGCATCATCAAAGTTGTTCAACTCCTGAAATTATTTCAAGATATACCACAATTAAAGTGAAAATTTTCAAGAGCTGGAAACGATGTCGCACTGAAGAAAGGGATATAATCTTGGCAATTTTTTGTTGGTGTTGCTAAATATGAAGGTAGCTCAAAAATGCCAATTGATGTTGGAAAATGAGTTTTCCAGGTCATGGCTGTCCTTCAAAATATCCCCATCAGCTGAAGGAGGCTTGTTTGAAGTCTGATTTTGTTTGGCTTCTTGAAAAGTTCAGGCAGAAACCTTCCTTTATGAGCAGATCAAGAAAATACTGTGCCTATAATGTACGCTTATAATTGTCCATCACAGGCTATAATTCTGTGCTTATATTCAAGATTTTTTCATCCACTTTGTGCAGAGTAGCAGTATGTTGGAATGTGTTTTGCCTTCAGAACTCCTTCAAGTGCTAAAATGACAAATTCTGTGTGCTTTTCTTTGCCCAGTTATTCTTTTTTTTATAAAATCAAGACAAAACCTTTTTATGGAAATTTTGGAACATAAAAAACTCTTTTAACAGGAGAGGTTAATATAATATTCTCTTCAAAGTCTGAAAGGAAAATGAGATCTGACATGCAGACCCTCTGACATTTGGAAAAATACAGTCTACTGAGAGGTTCAGTGGGTATTGGAGGATCAAACATCTTGCATAGCAAACCTGGACTCATTCTCAGTCCTAGTCTTCTCCCAAGCAACAAATTTGACTTTTGATGGCCCAAACTTGAGTAAAGTATGTAAAAGAACAGAGAAAAATACTGAAGACATGTTTCTTAAAATATTCTGTTGAAAATTTGAAAATGCCACCTTTTCCTGGAAATATATTTGGAAATGGGAAGAAAAAAAGTTTTGAATGAGGAAAATTGGAAATAATGGGGGAATTTGAATTTTCTTTGTGCTTATTACCCTATTTACTCAAGTACCATATGTGCACCTTTTTTCTCAAATTTCAGAAGAAAAAAAGGGGTGTGCATCATAAGCAGGTACACATTTTCCAAGAAGTTTTAGGAAGTTATGTGTTTAATAATAATGGAGAATTTTGGAACAAATGTAACAAGAAAACTTTTTGTTCTGAAACAGTTGAAAATTGATCAGGTTTTTCTTCAATTCATGTCTAAAGTCAATTTTCTGTTTTTTTCAAAATTTTGTAGTTCCAGATTCACTAAAAATTTGGGTGCCTGTCTTACTTGGGGA